ACCAATGGGTTGGGGGTTCCATTTCCAATCAAGGGCATGTATCTGGGTTGCAGGTTTGATCCCTGGCCTTGGTCAGGGCGTGTGCAGGAGGCAACCAATTGATGTCTCTCTCTCATGCTCTCTTTTTCTTTCTCCTCCTCTCTCCCTCCCTTCCACTCTCTCTAAAAATCTATGGAGAGGTTTTCTCCCATCCCGACCCTACCAGCTCCCGCCTGTCTCTGGCACCCCCTTACCCCCCTCAAAAAAAATAAATAAATAAAAATTAAAAAAAAAATCTATGGAGGCTGGGGTGGCTCAGTGGTTGAGCTTTGACCTATGAACTAGGAGGTAATGGTTTGATTCCCAGTCAGGGCACATGCCCGGGTGTGGGCTCCATCCCCAGTGGGGGGCATGCAGGAGGCAGCCAATCAATTATTCTCTCTCATCCTTGATGTTTCTATCTCTCTCTCCCTCTCCCTTCTTCTCTGAAATCAAACCAATAACTACACACACACACACACACTCACACTCTAGAGGCCCGGTGCATGAAATTCATGCACTGAGGTGGGGGTGGGGGGGTCCTTCAGCCCAGCCTGCATCCTCTCCATTCTGGGACCCCTCAGGGGATGTCCAACTGCCAATCCCGGTGGGATCGGGCCTAAACCGGCAGTCAGACATCCCTCTCACAATCTGGGACTGCTGGCTCCCAACCGCTTGCCTGCCTGCCTGCCTGCCTGATTGCCCCTAACCACTCCCTTGCCAGCCTGATTAACGCCTAACTGCTCCCCTGCCTGCCTGATCACCTCTGACTGCCCTCCCCTGCCGACCAGTCGCCCCCAACTGTCCTCCCCTGCTGACCTGCAAACCCACAACTGCCCTCCCGTTGGCCATCTTGTGGTGGCCATCTTGTGACCACATGGGGGTGGCCATCTTGTGTGAAGGTGTGATGGTCAATTTGCATATTACCTATTTATTATGCAGGAAATTCCTTGGGTGAGGATTGACAAAACAACATACGTTTAGACCAGGGGTGGGCAAACTTTTTGACTCGAGGGCCACAATGGGTTCTTAAACTGGACTGGGGGGCCAGAACAAAAGCATGGATGGAGTGTTTGTGTGAACTAATATAAATTCAAAGTAAATATCATTACATAAAAGGGTACTTTTTTTTTTTTTTTAGTTTTATTCATTTCAAATGGGCCGAATCCGGCTTGCCCACGGCTGGTTTAGACTGTCAGTGTTCACAAGTTTCAATACTATCCCTGCAATTTATTTGCTGAGTGCTCTGGAGGCAAAGTAATTTAACTTTTGCAAATCTCAGTTTCCTCATAAAAGAACTAGGAGGATGTTTATTTATGTAGCTCCTTCCAACTACAAAATTCTGTTTTTCATGAGCTGCATGTACACAAAAAATAAATGGTGCTAGCCTGGTGTGGCTCAGAAGTTGAGTATTAAACCTATAAACCAAGAGTTCACAGTTCAATTTCCTGTCAGGGCACATGCCTGGGTTGCATGTTCAATCCCCAGTGTGGGGTGTGCAGGAGGCAGCTGATCAATGATTCTCTCTCATCATTGATGTTCTATCTCTCTCTTCCTCTCCCTTCCTTTCTGAAATCAATAAAAAAATATATTTTTAAAAAAGAAAATAAATGGTAATGGACTTATTCAAACAGATGCCTTAGTAACAGTTGAAATGAATAGATTTCCAGAAAATTGAAACATAACTTCAAATAATGCAGGGAAGCTTCTGAGAAGGTAGAGAAGCACGAACAACCATGAAGCAAAGGGAACAACCTTTCCTGAGAAATGATGGCCAAATCTCTGTGCACTAAGTTCCATCCTTTACCTTTCAGCCATATCCTGAAATATCATCAACTTAATCATCTGGGCATTTGATGATAATGCTATCTAAAGTATACAACTATTTTAAATAAAAGAAATCCAAATAAGAAAAGAAGCATAAGCCCTAGTCGGTTTGGCTCACTGGATAGAGCGTTGGCCTGGGGACTGAAGGGTCCCGGATTCGATTCCGGTCAAGGGCATGTACCTTGGTTGCAGGCACATCCCCAGTAGGGGGTATGCAGGAGGCAGCTGATCGATGCTTCTCTCTCATCGATGCTTCTAACTCTCTATCCCTCTCCTTTCCTCTGTGTAAAAAATCAATAAAGTATATATTTTTTTTAATAAAAGGAAAAGTCTGTATCTAAATGATATACTATTTAAAACTTCTTTTAAAAAAAAAGAAAGGAAGCATAAAACTGTAATTATTTGTAGATTACATACTACTATATAGAGAGAACCTTAAAGAGTCTACAAAAAAACCTATTAGAACTAATCAAACTAATTCAGAAAAGTAGCAGGATACAAAATTAATATTCAGAATTTGATTGCATTTTTATACACCAACAACAAAATAAGAGAAAGAAAAATTAAGAAAAAAATCCCATTTACAATTACATCAAAAAGAATAAAGTATGTAGCAATAAATTCAACCAAGAAAATAAAAGACCTGTCCTCAGAAAACTATAAGACATTGCAGAAATAAATTGAAGAAGATAAAAATAAATGAAAGGATATACTGTGTTCATGGTTAGGAAGAATTAACATTATTAAAATGTCCATACTACGCAAAGCAATCTACAGATTCAATGAAATCCTTATTAAAATACCAATGGTATTTTTCACAGAACTAGTACAAATAATCCTAAAAAATACCTGGAAGCACAAAAGACCCTGAATAGCCAAAGGAATCTTGAAAAAAAAAAAAAAGAAGTTGGAGGTATCACGCTACCTGATATCAAACTACTTAGTATACTATAGCATGGTACTGGCATAAAAACGGACACATAGATCAATGAAACAGAATAGACAACCCAGAAAAAATTCCACACCTATATGGTTAATTAATCTACGATAAAGGAAGCAAGTATATACAATGGGGTAAAGACAGTCTCTTCAATAAATGGTGTTAAAAAGGGGGGAATAGGGGACACCTGTAATACTGTCAACAATAAAAATGAATGAATGAATGAATGAAGTTGACAAAACTGGACAGGCATGTAAAAGAATGAAACAGGATTACTTTCTTATCCAATATACAAGAATAAAATCAAAATGAATTAAAAAATTAAATGTAAGGCCTGAAACCATAAAAATCCTAGAAGAAAACATAGAAGAGTAGCTAATGCTACTCTTTGACATCACTCTTAGTAATATATTTTTAGATGTCTCCTTGAACAAGGGAAATATGAGAAAAAATGAATAAATGGGAGTACATCAAACTAAAGTATTTTTGCATAGTGAAGGAAACCATCAACAACATGAAAAGACAACCAACTAAATGGATGAAGATATTTGCCAATGATATATCCGAAAAGGGGTTATATCCAAAATATATAAGGAACTCATACAACTCAACTCCAAAAAAACAAACAATCTGATTTAAAAATGGGCAGAGGACCTGAATAGACATTTCTCCAAACAGGACATACAGATGGCCAATAGACATATGAAAAGATGCTCAATGTCACTAACCATTAGTGAAATGCAAATTAAAGCCATAATGAGATATCACTTCACACCTGTCAGAATGGTCATCAATACCTCAACAAACAAGTACTGGTGAGGATGTGGAGAAAAGGGAACCCTTGTGCACTGTTGGTGGGATCATAAATTGGTGTTACCACTACGGAAAGTAGTATGAAGTTTCCTCAAAAAATTAAAAATAGAACTATCATATGACCCAGTAATTCCACTTATGGGTATTTATCCAAAGAAATCCCAAACACTTATTGAAAAGACATATGCAACCTTATGTTCATTTCAGCGTTACTTATATTAGCCAAGATATGAATCAAACTAAGTGTTCAATAGATGAATGGATAAAGAAAAAGTGAGGCCCTAACTGGTTTGGCTCGGTGGAGAGAGCGTTGGCCTGTGGACTGAAAGGTCCCAGGTTCGATTTCGGTCAAGGGCATGTACCTTGGTTGTGGGCAGAATTCCAGTAGGAGGTGTGCAGGAGGCAACTGATAGATGTTTCTCTCTCATGCTTCTCTCTCATCGATGTTTCTAACTCTCTATCCCTTTCCCTTCCTCTCTGTAAAAAATCAATAAAATTTATTAAAAAAAAAAGAAAAGAAAAAGTTATATATATATATATATATATATATATATATATATATATATATATAATGTATATTCTCAATATATATACAATGGAATATTGATCAGCCATAAAAAAGAATGAAATCTTGCCATTTGTGACAACATGGATGGACCTAAAGGGTATTATGCTAAGTGAAATAGGTAGACAGAGAAAGACAAATACCAAATGATTTCACTTATATGTGGAATCTAAAGAACGAAATAAACTAACAAACAAAACAGAAACAAACTCACAGATACAGAGAACAAATTGATGGTTGCCAGATGAGAGGGGATTGGGGGTAATGGGTGAAAAGGGGAAGGGAATGAGATGATCAAATTGCCAGTTATAAAAACAGTCACAGGAAAGTAAAGTATAGCATAGCAATATATATAGTTAATAATATTGTAATAACTATGTGTAGTGTCAGATGGGCACTAGACTCATTGGGGTGATCACTTCATTAAGCTATATAAATGTCTAATTACTCTGCTGTAGACCCTAATATTGTCTGTCAACTGTAATTTTTAAAAAACTGCCTGGCCAGTGTGGCTCAGTGGTTGAGCATCAACCTATGAATCAGAAGGTCAGTTTGATTCCCAGTCAGAGCACATGCCCAGGTTGTGGGCATGCAGGAGGCAGCCAATCAATCAGTGATTCTTTCTCATTATTGATGTTTCTATCTCTCTCTCCCTCTCCCTTTCTCTCTGAAATCAATTTTAAAAATATATTTAAATTTTTTTTAATTTAAAAAATGATTTTAGAGTTTTAGAAAAACTTTTAAAATAAACAGTAATAAAAAATTAAAATCAAATATTAATAGTCATACATATTAAAATTGAAAAGCAGAAATATAATACTCTTACAGATAGTTTACCTCAAAGTCTATCAGCTGTAGGTCAGCTATCAGTGTCACCAGCAGCCCACTATTGTAGAGTTCTTGTGCTAACTGAGCCACAGCCTCTGTTGGGGGTTCCTTGTCATTTGTACCACACAGAATTTCTTTCATTGCTTGCAGTGATTTCGATACTTCTTCCGAAGCCTAGTGACCAAAAAGTATGCTAAGACTTAAGTGAATAAAAATTTTCAGGCTATAAACAAACAAAAACCACTTATTAATCCCTATATATTTATGATCAAAGAACACTGTACAGTTATAAACAAACAAAAACCTTTTAGTAAGCACTGGTTTTTTATTTTAAAAAGTTACTAAAATTTGTATCTAAAAAAGACCTCTAGTATTTCTATTTAGCCAGCATAATTAAAAAAAATATTTTCTCGCCGAAACTGGTTTGGCTCAGTGGATAGAGCGTCGGCCTGCGGACTCAGGGGTCCCGGGTTCGATTCCGGTCAAGGGCATGTGCCTGGGTTGCGGGCACATCCCCAGTGGGAGATGTGCAGGAGGCAGCTGATCGATGTTCCTCTCTCATCGATGTTTCTGGCTCTCTATCTCTCTCCCTTCCTCTCTGTGAAAAATCAATAAAATATATTTAAAAAACAATATTTTCTCTTAAACCATACTCAGACACAGTCCATTTTGATAGTAATTAATTGTAAATTTAACTCTTGAAATTAAAATGACTCTATTTTAAAGACCTATCAGTAGCTACTAGTCTTTAAAACATTTGCTAAGGTTTTTCCGATTTTTTTTAGTCTAGGTATAAGATCATAAATTGTTAAAACGCATAAACTTTCTTTGTTGATACACTTTTCTCTCACACAGACATTATCTTTTTTGTTATCTGTAAAACTTTTAAAAAATCCCTCACTATATATAAAGAATAATAGGAAAATCCATAGAGATAGAAAGTAGGTAAGTGTGTACTAGGGCCTGTTGAGATAGAATGAGTAATGACTGCTTATAGGGTACAGGGTTTCTTTCTGGGATGATACAAATGTTCTGGGATTAGATAGAGGTGATGGTTGTACAACCTTGAGAGTATAATAAAAACCACCGAGTTGTACATTTTAAAATGATGGAGTATATGGTATGCAAATTATATCTCAATGAAAACTTTTAAAAAAGTTAATACAGATGAGGAGAGAAGAACAGACCATTAGTTAACAATTTGATTTGCTGACCACTAAAAATATATATGTAAAGTATAAAATTTAAAGTATACTATTCTAATCATTATAATTGGAGGGAATAAAGAGAATAAGGTAATATAAAAATAATACATAGTAATGTGACACTATTTAAAAAAATAATTTCCATATACATTTTATGATCTGACTGAAGCAATCCTTATTTATTAGAGATTGGAAGTTTCTTAAATTGTGTGACTATACCACAGGTCAAGAAACATTTAAGTACCCCAGAAGTTACCTGAATGGCTCTCTTTCAGCCTAAAAGTAAATATTGTTATGTCTTTTATGATAAACATTTATTTACATTTTTGTAGTTTTCTTACCTATGTTTGTAGCCTAAACAATATAGTTTAGTTCTACTGATTTAGAATAATACCTGTACTCTTTTAAAATTTGCTTCTTTCACTTCACACTGTATTTGTGAGATTCATCCATGCTGCTGCATGTAAGCAGCAGTTCTTCAATTTTCATTTCCTATGGTATTCCAATGATGGTGGCACCACTTCACTATCAGCTCTATTGTTGTTGGACATTTGGGTTGTTTCCATTGAGGGGTTATTATGCAAAGCACAATACTATAACATTCTTGTACATGCAGTCTGAGACCATGTTCAAGAATATCTCTAGAGTTTATATCTAGCAAGAACATGCATGACTTTCTATCTAACAGATAATATACTAACCTTGTTTCCAAAAACCAATTTATACTTTACACTCATAGTGAGTCAAAGTTCTTATTGCTTTCCATACTTGTAAATACTTAACACTATTAGACAATTTTGCCAAGGTAGAACATGTATATTATGAATATACTGCAGTTACTTGGACTTTTTCTGATTACTAATGAAGATGAGTATCTTTTGATGTTTTTTAAAAAGTTTTCTTTCTTTTGTCATTTAGAATTACTCTTTTATAAAGATTTTTTTTTCTACTTGGACCAATAGTTGGTTCAATATTACAAGTACACTAGGATTAAAATATATTTCTATATTACTTACAAGATGTAGGATGAAAAATATACTTCTACATCCTTATAAGAACACAAGATTGTATCAGACACTGAGACAAAAATATACTTTGCACTCAAGGGTATTTAATTTATAGATACTAATACTAAAAAGTCCTTTCAATGCGGAAGCACTACATGGTAGGATTTTAAAACAATGTTAAAATGAGGTTGCACTGCAGTAGAAACTATCAGTTAACCTTTAAATAAAAGCTTTTTACCCTTCATGCCAATATATTATACCAGTACTAGAGGCCTGGTGCATGGATTTGTGCAGTGGTGGGGTCCCTCAGCTTGGTCTGAGGGGATCAGGTCAAAACTGGCTCTCTGATATCCCCTAAGGGGTCCCAGATTGCGAGAGGGGTGCAGGCCAGGCCGAGGGACCCCACCAGTGCACGAACCCATGCACTGGACCTCTAGTATGCATATAAGATCTATGGTTACTCTCTTCCCCCACTCCTCCCTCCCCGCTTCCCTCTGAGATTCATCAGTCTCTTCCATGTTTCCATGCCTGTGGTTTCTGCTTCTGCGTTGAGCATTTGACTCCTGGTGGTCAGTGCGCATCATAGCTACTGGTTGGTTGGTCAGCCAGTTGCTTAGGCTTATATATATATAGATAACCACTTAGATTTTTAAGCTATGTAGTCTAGAGGAATCCAGGGTTGGTCAGAGGCTCCAGATAATGAATCAAGAGCTCAAGACCACCCTGGTCAAGTATCTCAGTTGGTTAGAGCATTGTCCTGATACACCAAGGTTTCAGGTTCAATCCCCAGTCAGAGCACATACAAGAATCAACCAATGCATAAAGAAGTAGAACAGCCCTGGCTGGTTTGGCTCAGTGGACAGAGTGTCAACCTGTGGACTGAAGGGTCCCAGGTTTGGTTCTGGCTGGGGGCACGTGCCCGGGTTGCAGGCTCGGTACCCAGTGTGGGGTGTGTAGGAGGCAACTGATCGATGATTCTCTCTCAGCATTGATGTTTCTCTCTCTCCCTCTCCCTTCCCTTCTGAAATCAATAAAAATATATTTTAAAAAAAAAAGTAGAACAAAAAATCAATGTTTCTCTTGCATGCGCTCTCTCTCTCTTCTCCTGCTTCTCTTTCTCTAAATCAGTAAAAAAATTTTAATAAAGAAATTTTAGTTGATTAGAGGGTTGTCCTGATATACCAAGAGTTCAAGACAATAGACTCAACAATTAACAGATGCATAAAACCTAAAATAAATTTAAATGTATTTACAGAGACCCTATGTAAATCACAGACCATATTTGGGGTACTTCATTAAACTTTTATGTTGGTTTTTGGTCTTGGAATAAATATATTTTAATAATAATGTTATTGTTTTAGCTCATACCTTGTCTGTCTTTTTGTCTTGCTTTTCCAAAATGGCTAAGTTGTCTTTCAGAATTTTCACAATTTCTGCTGGATTTTTATGTGATTTACTAAACAATGGCATTTTTTTCATCTTTAGAAATATCCTCTTCCAATATGGAATGCTAAAAACAAATAAAAAAATAAAAATCATTAACTTATTCTTAACATGATTAAATTGTTATACTAAAATGACTTGTTTTCAATTCAGTAATTTGCTATATTAAAATCCAATTAAAATGAGTTTCATCAAGTTTTATGCCGAATTTAAACACGTGCAAAATATTTTTAAACTTTACCTAAAAGTTTTTTCTCTAAGTTAAAATTTTTTCTTATAATAGAAATACAAGTATTATGCAAGAATGGAAAAAAGAATACCTTTAGAGAATAACCTGATATTTAGACTAAAAACTGATGCTAATAATAATAGTAGATAAAATAAAACATATAAAACTAAAGTGGAATTAAGATCCACATACTATGGTAAGGCGATATTTAAAAGCATTCCACTCAACAGTAATGTAGAGTCTGTTCTTCATTCTTTAAATATTCAACTGACTATACTCATTGATGAAATGAGGGCTACCATGGCAGAAGGTGAAGAGAGAAGGGCAAGGAGTATCAATTCTCGATTTTGAGAACATCAATTTACATACAGCAGAGAAAGCCAAATGTGGCAATCATTGTCTTATATTCATTTACTTTACATGTATTAGCAAAAATATTTCAAGCATTACAGAAATATGGTATAATAAATCAAAGGCTTCCATTAACAAATGACCCAGAGATACCAATTATCAGTTTGGAATATACTACTCCTGAGTTTTTTCTATACATGTAAAAGTAAATATGTTTTAAAATAAAAACAGAATAGTTCTAAATATAGTATTTTGTAACTTTTCCAAACTTTTTATATCTTGAATATCATTCTATAAGTTCATGTTTAGGTCTGTAATATTTTTATTGCAATATAGTATTCCATTATACAGATACATTACATAATTATTTGATAAGTTCTTAATTATTATAATTTATTTTACCAATACCCTATTGATGTATTTTGAGTTAATTGAATTTCTCTTAATATTTTTCTTATTAACAGTGAAGAATATTATATGTAAATGTGTACACAAACATGTATACCAGTTGATAATAGCACTCTTCTAACCAGCTATTCCTGTGGCGTAACCTTGGCTATGGTTCTAAATCCCTCATCCTCCTAGATTCCTACTTCCTAAATCTGGTTCCCTAGTGTTTGATAGATCTGTGAGTTACCTTATATCCTTCTAATAAATTCATTCAGTATTGACTGTGATCAAGAATTCCAATGGGATACATACTAGTATATGTTATGAAGTATAAATTACAACTGTTGGTATAAATTTTGATAATAAACAAAAGACTTAAAAATTATTTCATGTTTTCAGTAGGGATGCCTTAACTTCCCAATGTGGGAGGGTAAATATAAGGGGGAAGTTGTCCACTTTTAGGGCAAGAATAAGGTTTTTTTAAAAAAATATATACATATTTTATTGATTTTTTTTACAGAGAGGAAGGGAGAGAGATAGAGAGTTAGAAACATCAATGAGAGAGAAACATTGATCAGCTGACTCCTGCACAACTCCTACTGGGGATGTTCCCGCAACCCAGGCACATGCCCTTGACCGGAATCGAACCTAGGATCCTTCAGTCCGCAGGCCAACGCTCTATCCACTGAGCCAAACTGGTTTCGGCAAGAATAAGTTTTAAAAGCATGTTAAAGGACCCAAATCAGTCTCTAAAACTGATTCAGAAAGTTGACTCAGCACTGAAAGATAAAGATGTGAAAATCACACTGTGAGACTCAGTGGGTGGTTTCAGGTGCAAAAAAGAAAGAACATTGGAAGAACATTGTGTCCTGTCCCTTTATAAAATACAAGAACAAAATGATAAATATGCATTAGGTCTTTCTTTAATAATCAGGCCTAAACATAAATAAAGGCAAAGTACATTTAAAAAGTGTATGTAATGTGGAAGTGGGGTAGGTGCTGAAATGATCATTAGATGGTTGGGCAAAGTAAACAGTCTGTTGATTACTACCTCGGTGCTCTTGGGCACAGTATGCGATCTCTCCAAGTTCTGTGTTTTTACCTGTAAATGGTTATAATAACATCTCCTTCTCAGGACTGTTGTAAGGATTAAAGGCATGCAGAGTACCTTGCACAGGGCCTAGTAGATGTGAGGTACTCTATAATGCTTAGCTGCCATTATTACAAAATGTTCTATAATAGTTAATGAATTATTTCACTACACAGAAAGACATAATAATTGAGATATAATTTTGTCTTTATTGTGTCCTAGACACTTCTAAATTCCTGAGCCACTTACACATTTTTTAAAAATATAAATTTATTTTTTGAATTTTAAATACTCAATCTATATATATAAAAGCCTAACTTTCAAATTGTCCCCTCAGGAGTTCAACCAGGAGACTGGGAGTTCGATCACTCGCTATGACGTGCGCTGACCAGCTGGGGGCGGCATGGAACATAGGAAGGCCTGGCCGGCAGCCAGAAGGCCCCCATCAGCCCTGATCACCAGTCACACCTAGGAAATTTCGTGCACTGAGCCTCTAGTGTTCAAATATTTAACATTAACAAATTTTTATTTATTTTTTGTTAATCCTCACCTGAGGATATTTTTCCACTGATTTTTAGGAAGACTGGAAGAGAGAGCGAAAGACAAAAACATTGATGTGAGAGCAACAGTATGCACCCTTGACCAAAATCACACCCTGGATTTGATCTACAGGCCAACGCTCTATCTACTGAACTAGAGCTAACATTAACGCATTTTTAATGGCTAAATGTATTTGTGTATTATCTTTCTCTATGTAGTTCTACTGCACTAAGGAACAGATAGTCAACTATAGGAATTTCAACTAAATATGTACTCCCTAACATCAAAACAGAGTGCAAATTATATATGGTATATATATGATATGACATGACTTTTGTCAGTTACCCATTGCTCTGCTCAATTCTCACTGTAACAAGCTAGTTCTAATGCTAATTCCACTACAATTATAAACATTTTCAGGACATTATCCTATATAATAAAAGGCTAATATGCAAATCGACTGAACGGTGGCACGACTGGTCGCTATGATGTACACTGACCACCAGAGGGCAGATGCTCAACACAGGAGCTGCCCCCTGGTGGTCAGTGCACTCCCACAGGGGGAGAGCTGCTCAGCCAGAAGCCAGGCTCACAGCTGGCGAGTGCAGTGGCCTCTCCTGCCTTCATGGCAGTCGGACATCCCCCAAGGGCTCGTGGACTGCGAGAGGGCACAGCCCGGGCTGAGGGACCCCCCTCCCCGAGTGCACGAATTTCGTGCACTGGACCTCTAGTATTAATATAATAGTTAGCCAGCATTTCCTGATTCACTGTAGCCCAACTGTTCATTTGCCTGTTGGTTTCTTCATTTATTCATTCACGTACTCAACGAACAAAACTAAGCATAGGGATAGAAAAACACAAGCTCTGCTCTTTGGAGCTAATTATTAATTGGAAAAGCAAATATTTTAGGGGCAATGAAATTAATAACAGTGGGAATTAACATAGAATATATATAATGCCTCTAATATAGTTTTCCCTTTTTTGAATTTATTATTTTCATATTTTAAATGTACCTATTATCATAATAACTCTAACATAAACTTAGTTTAATAATGTTCTAAAATCTCATGGGATCAATAGTCCTCAATTCTGGGGAGCCTATTTTGAGGAAAATCAAAACCCATACTTTCAAACCATGCAGTTACAGCCCCCTAGGTCTCCTACAAGTTAATGTGAAGCTCTCTTTTCTACACTGTTCTCTTCAGACCATGGCCAGCTCCATCTCACCCCCAGACTGAACACCTGTCTCTATAATTTTAAATTTGAGGCTGCCCTTTCCATAATCTGAGCAATTGTGCTGGTCACTCCATGTGCACCCACCCTAATCATATCATTCACTGCACCTTTACTTAATAAATGAGTCAACCAGCACTCAACACTACCTGCTAATAATGAGACCTAAACCCTCATCTATTTCTGAGTTGTTGTTAACTGATCATTATGATTCAGAAGTTATCACCCTTATGTGTGTATCATTTCTCCTGTCTGTAAATTCAGGGGTTCTTTTTTCTTTTTATTGAATTTCTTGGGGTGAGGCATCTTTTTTTTTAGCTTAACTGTGAATTCACCTCATCATATCATTTAATTCATAATTTTCCATTTCATTCATGAAGATATCATGAAAAAATTTGCCAAATGCACCGGGAAGGCTCAGATACATTATATTTATTTGTTTACACCAGTTTGATTACTGTATTTTATTTTTTACTACATCTCCATGACTTACTAATTTTATAACTGCAAGTTTGTACCTTTGACCACCTCCACCCATTTCATCCACTGGCATCCTATGCCTTTGACAACCACCAATCTGTTCTCTTTAATATATAAACTTATTTTTGTTTTAGTGGTGTTTTCTAGATCCAACATGAGTGAGATCATATGGTATTTATCTTTCTCTGACTTATTTCACTTAGCATAATGCCCTAAAGGTCTATCCATGTTGTTACAAATGACAAAAATTTATTCTTTTTAATGAGTGAATAATATTCCAGTGTGTGTGTGTGTGTGTGTGTGTGTGTGTGTGTGTGTGTGTGTATACTAGGTGTACCGGTTAATAATGTGGATTTTTTTCAATAGAGGGAGTTACACATATGTTGATATATATGCGATTTGATATGTATGCTATTGTGTTGTATTGACAACAAGTTTCAAAACTTCATATGTCAAATTTGCTGAAGGTGTTAACATCATAGATATTTTTACACTTAAAAATGTTGAATTTCATGCCCAAAAAAGAGCATTTGTGCAAAGTTATAATTCATTACTTTATTTTGAAGAAAAGTGCTGCTGAAAACTTCAGGAAGTTTATGGTGAACATGCTCCATTTCAAGATACTTGTGAACGCTGGTTTAAATGCTTTAAAAGTGATGATTTCGATGTGAAAGACAAAGAACATCCAGGTCAACTGAAAAAGTTTGAAGACCAACAATTACAAGCATTATTGGATGAAGATGCGTGT